TTTTGAGGTAGATAGTTACGGGTGATGAAAAGTGAATCTATTTTGAAAATTCTAAACGCAAAAAGAGTTAACCCATCCATCGACATTCACAATAAAACGCAATATCCACGGCCGTGAGGTTCTTTTGTGCATCTGGTAGGACCACCAGAAAGAAGGAATGCTTTACTGAACTATTACCCCTGGCAGACAGTCACAGGAGATTCCTACAGCCAACAATTATGGCGTTTGAACCAAGCCATGGAGTAAAAACGTCCTCAAATAGCCGCGAACGGACGCAAAGTCATCCTGCATGGACGACAACGCCAGGCCGCATGTTACTTACCGTTGCGACTAAAGATACGTTGTTCAAGTTAAATTGAGAAGTCTTGCTGCACCCAGCGTACTCTCCAAACATCGCTCCATTTGATTTTCTATTCAGAACGATGCAGTATGATTTATCTGATACACGGTCCCGAAATGCCGAGGAAGTGCGAAAATAATTACCTCAAAAAATTTGCCATTTTATCGCCGCGAGATCAAACTATTGCTTAAAAGGTGGCAAAATGTTATCGAGAGCAACGGCCAATATACTTTGATTAAAATATCATATATCATCTCATTGTTATAAATAAATAAAAATGGCTTTAATATCATACGAAATTTTACAAGCGCCTATACATATCAGAGCGAGAGAGAGAGAGAGAGATGGGACTTGTAAATGAAATCTAGAAAATATTTTTATGCCGGCGCGCGCGTGCGCTTCTGTTACCCACCGCGGCAGCGATTGTGTTAGCTCCCGCGAGCCCACCGGAAGGAATTAATTGCGACGTGGGGGCGCGCGCAACACAGCGAGAAAACAAGGGTTAATATAATCCGCGAAATGATCGAAGCGCGAGCGCGGAAAGATGAAAACCAAACAGCTCTCGCAACATCGGGAGATTGACGCCCGCCGGTATTTCCGAGTGACGAGCGAATACGATGAAAGAACACGAGCTGGCGAACGAACGAACGAACGAACGAACGCGCGAAGTGGCAAGGTAGAAACGAATCAACTCAAATGAGCGGCGACGCGGCGGATAATGAGAGAACGCGCGCGGGTCAATGGGAACGCGAGAGCGAATCGCAAAATAGGTAAGCTCGCGGGGAATCAAAAGCGGAGCAAAAGAGAGAGAGAGAGAGAGAAAGAGGAGCTCAGCGGCGTCTGCGTGTATAAAGCATCTGGCGCCTCTGCGAATCTCACAATGCGTATTCGCCTGAGTATCCGACGGCGTAGCGTCGTTGTCATAAATAGGTACCGCGTAAGCACCTGTCGGGCTAAGCGGGCGAAACTCTTATTATTCCGACGGCGCTGTAACGGCGCGCGAGAATACCGTCAGTGATTTCTAACCCGCGGCTTCGCGAAAATAATCTCCCGGCGGCACGCGAGACGTCTCTCCCTCCCCCGGACTCTTCCCGGATTGTTCGGGGGTTCTTTTCTCGAGGAAACCACGAGCTTTTTCGTCCTTTCCCCTCGTGTTCTTCCGCGTGACCTCGCTCTCTCGTACGCTTTCCACTTGGAAAGCGAAGCGGCGAAAATCGAGGAGGGATGGTCGTCGAGATGAGAAATGCCGCGTTGCGGGTGTGTTTTAACACGGTTCAGTGGGTCGCGGTTATGCGGGTTCTTAACGGGTGATAGCGGCGCGACGGCTTCCAGTTTATTTATGGATGGGGTATTATCGATACGTTGATACGCGCGCATATTATCGAGAGAGAGAGATCGTAAAGATATCGGCGTACGTCTGTCTCTCTTTCTCTCGGTTGTAACAGAGTTCCGTATTTCTTTCAGTGTCTCTAATCGCTCTCGCGTCGCTCTCTCTCTTCCGCTCGTCTTACACACTCGAGATCGCAAATGACGACGCTTTCATTTCTCTCGTGACGATACACGCTTATACTCTCATCCCGAATTATGCCGCGGCCGTAAATACGGCCGACGTATGCGCAAATGAGATCGTAAATGAAAACTCATTTCGCATCGTAAACGTCGCGGCGACCGGGACTTTTTTCGAATGCAGCCGGGCTCCCGCGCTCGAAATCCCGGGGACGTTGATATTTTGACGCTGGCCCCCATAAAGTGCATTAGTGACGACGTGCATCGGCGAACCCGCTCGTGATATTTTTTATCGCGCACTACCCTCGCACTACCCTAACTTCCGCGCGCTCTTTCTTTTCTCGCTTTTTTCCCCGAAATGGTGTCGACTATCGAATTACTTACATACGCTTCGTCAGCTATGTAACTTAAAAACGCCGGGTACAACGTAATCCATTGCGCGACAAGCACCGCCGGTCGACACACCTTGAAAAATATAGATTCGTGTTACTGTCAAATTATCTCGAGGAATTGTGGCTGTACTTTTGTCGCGCGCCAGTTTAATCCGAATATGCTGTGCACGCGTTGTTAAGAATACATGTCTATTAGTGCCGTATTTTCAGCTGCTGAAAAATTTAATATTTCCCAAGCAAAATTACGTTCCCATACATGTATTTCACTATCTGTATAACAAATGTTCATTTGAAACGAAGTCGAAATAGACATATACGCGATGTCACAAACATAAAAATATTATTACTTTTTGTTTCCCTTATTAATGTTATGTTTACTCATCAGTTGATTTATTAGAAATGCGTAGATGATAGAAAAAGTGTTTAAATATGCGCACATGCACGCGTATATTGCGAGTATTACTACATATTCCACGTCGCGGAAAGGTCGCGAACGGAGAGCGTTGGATTTTCGCGACGCGAATATTAGGACGGATGTCAAAGATACAAGTGACGGTGGAAATGAGGAAGTATTCTTCTCATGGTCGTTATTCGTCATGCGAGATCGAGTTCCAGCTGCGTTACCTGAAAGACGCGTTCGCGAACACACTTCGCCGTACACACACATTCTCCGGCAAGACCGATCCATCAAAGCCGGCCGAAGCGAGAGCTTGATACGGCCGAATTTCCCGCGAGGGCCACCACAGCTCGCGGCCCGCCAACGGACGGCCGCGCTCGCCGGAATTATGGTTCCCTTATGCTCCCATTACGGGACCATCTACGGTTATGTTCCCTCGCTCCGGCCGCACCCCGTTCTCCCTCCTCCCGCCGGTCCCCGCGCAAACAATCTCCGTGGGGCATTTTTGGCCCTTGATCGATGTTGACCTTTTAATGGCTCCGCACGCGGAAAGGCCGTTTCGGGGGTGCGCTCCGTGTTCGCTCGGTGTTGACTCGGGCGAGATTTGATGGACAATATCGTAATGTAGTTGCCGGAATAATTTCGTAGCGGTGATACCGGCCGGGCCCCGGCGCCGGGAGTATCCTTGGTCCGTTGTTGTTGATCGATGTTGACGTTTATGCGTTATCGTTAATGGAGAAACGGATGACGCTTTTGTGGCGGAGCTTGTGTTTTATTTACAATCCCGTTATCGGGAAAGCGATGATATTGCGATACATATTGGAATACACACACATATACTCGCCCGAATTCGTTTTAATCGAGTACATTTGTACCGAATTTACCCTTTTTCGCGCTATACCGTATTTTCGTATACTCCGCACACACGTACGCATATCTCGTGGAAATATCAATGCGACAAATTTAATTTAATCCTTTTTTTACGATATTATGACATGTTTACATTCAAGTTAGTCAATTTATTGCATCCCCGGTAACGATGACATGATAAAATTTGTCGATCTGAATAAAAAATAAATTTGCGAGATTCATATAACTCGCAATCGGTGTGTATGCGTGAAATGAGAAAAAAATTCAATTTTACGTATTATTGCACCGTAATTCGCGATTACTACGGTCACGTAAATCGCAAACGCGGATTATATTCTGGATATGCTCGTCTTACGCACATCTTCATTCGACATCGCGGACGGTCGATGGTCAACGTCCGCGCGTATATTTGGCGCACCTAATGTCGAAGTTGCCAAATTGTCTATGACTAACTTGCATTTCGCGCAATGGCCATCCCCGTGTTGCACTGCGTCGGCCGGATCTCTCCCCCTCTCTCTCTCTCCACGCGAACATAACTTCCACCTTCCTTACTCCACATCCGCATAATATTCGCCTCGTGATCCATGACTAATGTTTCCTCTTCATCGATCCGTCTAGGACACGCGAATAATCGCGTATCGCCGCTGCATCGAACGCGCGGCCCCAACAAGATCGCGTTAGATTACCGCGGAATAAATTCGCAACAGCTGATTCAAAAGTGCATTTTTCTTTCACGCTATGCCTCTGGCTATTTCTCTCACCGACCGACGTGTTCCCTCGCTTTCCCATATCGTGCCTTATACTGTTGGTCATAATTTCCCCCCTTGTGTTTTCCCCCCGTGCCGGGTGCTTTTGGAGGTGCGACGCGTTCGCTTTATGTCGGTATGATAATTGACAATCCGGTTTTAAATGGAAGGTAAACGTGACAAATGGGGACTACTTTAATCAGGAAAGACACGAGCAATGAAGCGATCCGTGCAACGGAATCTGATCGGCGATATTCGATAATTATAGTGTGTTCAGGAATATCGCTGAGCAAGCGGTACGATATACTCGTATTTAATTTGAATTGACAGGGTCAGGTCATTAAATAGACTTCAGCGCGACCGTTTTCGTTTGCTTCGAGTATAGAAACTGAGCGAAATTCTGACCGGACGGTAAAAGTTGTCAAGTTAAACGAAGTCAAGGAAACGAAATTCGATTGTTGAGCGCGTCGTTTTTACCGTTTTCAATCCGAACCGAGGAGATATCGAGCGAATTATTGTCACTTCTACGAAACGTATTAGTCAAGAATATACCCGCAATTGGTATCGTACATCTTTCGCGCGACTAATATCTGCGATGGAGGTGAATGCGCTCGTACATATCGATATTTTAGGAATGCAATCTCGATGTCACATCTTACTTAATTGTCGTGAGGATGGACAAGCTCTGTTATCACGTTACGTCGATGGTGCGATTCACTAAAACGCTGCAATTTTATCTCTCGTTTTAGATCCTAAATTCAAGGAGCCGATAGCCAATGTAACCGCGTCGGTGGGAAGGGAAGCCATTCTCTCCTGCGTAGTTCAAGATCTGGCCGGATACAAGGTAATTCGAATTTTTATGGATATGTCTGAATGTGTTCTTTCTCTCTTCCTCTATTTCGGCGAGTCGATTCTTTAATTAAAGCGTCGAACGCCGTTAATGTGCCAATTAAGCGTGTCGCGCGATTCTGATCCGGTACTTCGGTATTTTTTATTCGTTCTTGTGTTTTCTTTACGTAACTTAATTGATAACGAACAACTAATAACTATCGACTGTACGGTTAGGCGATTCTTCACGATAAGTTGACACTTTCGCGAACTCTGACCTTTTAGTGTATCGTATCATGATACAATCTGGCAATGCCGTTTTTGTTGTAAACGCGATTAATTAAGACGGTCTTCGCGAAATTGAACTTAATATCCGAAATAGAGACACCGCGCGAATTACGACGATTCGTTTCCCAACGCTGTTTAACTCTTGAAAATGCTTATTTGTAAGACCTATATTTTCGCATCTCGTGTCTCACATTGAGTAATTGCGAAACGTGATTTTATAGCGTGTTTACGAGAATAATTCATGAATAAGTAGTTAAGAACTGGCTGCGAGACGCCGTTCGGCTGTTTTGCAGCAGCACGAATGTCGTCCCCCCTCCGCCTCCACGATAACAAGTATCTAAATGGCGCTAAGTCGCTTTAAGTAACCGTTCGTAATTCCAGCGTGAAACATTACCGATGCGCCTTAAACGCACGCTCTTTTCGGCTGCACGATTTTTCAGAATTCGCAATTTCACTGCCGGAAAAATTCGTGATGCAGCGAAATATAATTTCATTTTGCGCATGTCGTCTGAGATATTTTCATTATAAAAAAGGAGAACGAAACGAGTCACGCGCATATTATATTAGGAATAAAATTCAACAAATTTTCCGCACACGCGCGTGATAATATTACACATGGCGGTGAAATTAAGGTAATTTAATACTCTTAGTGGTCGCTCGCGTGGACGTTTGTGTGCGTGCGTGTGTGTGGACTAATGTCAGAGCACTAATTTTGAGCGCCGTCAGTGCTAACATGCGCGCTACATCAGCGTATGAAAAGCTGCGCGCGGTATTATGGGATTAAAATCCTGCATAAAAATATTCTGGAATAAAAAGAGAGAGATCCCCGCCTCCGGACATTGAACAACGGGCCGAGTTGTGTTCAACCCATTGACCCGGTTGGAGAACCGCGGGAAAAAAACGAGAAATTGAAACGAATTTCTGTCTCCCCGGTGTTCTTTACACGCTACCGCACTCTGGACGATCTGAAGAATTCTCTTCGGCCAGGCCGAAGCAATTAGTTAATTAATTAGTAAAATTACGCGAAGGGGAGTAAAAACGAGCACTTACCGGTGGGAGGACGATCTTATTCGGTCTTTTATTCGCAATTCCGGCTGCAGTCAGCTAGAGTGGGGTTTAACGAAAATGTTAGGTGGATAATGGCTTTCGTGGAGTGTTAATTAGGGGAATGAAAACCGCACGGGCCGCAGAATGGCGTCTCCTAGACAGGTTCGATCAAGTTCACGTTTCGGCCGTTCGGCTGTCCGTCGACTGATATCGCGTAAATATTTGAACAGTAATTACGGCAAATACCATTATTCGAATATTTCCAGCGCGGTCAATCGAATAAATTCTAATGCGGCTTTTTCCCACATTAAAATGCCTGAATATCGATTTTCGCATTATACTTGTAGATTGATATCACAGCGAGCGGGTCTCTCGATATATAAGTGCCGGATATAACCGGGATATAACCGGTCTGCAGATTCCAAACGCGCTACGCATTTGACACGCGCGCGCACTCTCTGCGCGCGAGAACTTCTCGCGAATTTGCAGGAAACGTCATGCAAAGTTTGCGCATAAACTCTTGTTAGAAAAAAAGTATTGCATTTTTATTCGTTTTCTCGTCGACGTACGCGCGCGCGAAGTTAGTATATAAATAAAGTTTGTTTCGTCCAAGAGATTTTTCCGAGCTCATATTTGTCCGACATTCGAGGCGCCGGGAAAGCGCAGGGCCAATAAGAAGGCCGCGAAGAAAAGGGATGCCATTGCCGCGCGTCCTTTGGTAAAAAGGCGCCTCAAACAACGGAGCGCGCCGGGCTTTATGAAGTGTAATGAAGGAGAGCGGCCGTTATTTCGTTAAATATCACTTGTTACGCGACGGGAGTGCACAATGAGTCGTAATCGCCGGGCAATTTTGATCAAGCGCCGCTTCCGACACGTTGCGAAAAAAGGAGCGCAGCACGAGCGCTTCAATTTGCTCCTCGTAGCTGCGCTCTTTCGTCAGCCGAAGCGAGAGCCACACGGCCGAATTGTTTGCTCACGTCCTATCTTTCTGGCCAATTAGAGGCCGAATAACAACAATTGTTTCATGATGTTTGCGCTCGGATTCCGGTGGAATACATCTATTTGCCGTTCGCACGTGGCTTCCGCAACGTTCGAATTACATTCCATCGATCGAGAATTAATTGGGGGTTGCTTAATTAATTTTCGAAACGATAGAGGCCCTAGTTGGGTTCTGTAATAATTGCCAGTCGTAATATATCGAGCTATCGCGATAGCCAACACACGAGCGCCGTTCTCAAGCCGCACGGACGAAACGCGCTCTTCCAGTCGCACGATTCGCTTCTCACATAAATTCGCGGATGAATCACTCTATATATTTCACGCATCTGTCTTCGAGCGGATTGCGCGTCAGTGGCCACCCCTTTGTAGCGTAATCGCAGGGACATAATCATTAGGAGGCAGGGATTTGCGTCGAGCCCTTCTGCTCGACCGGTCCAAGGCGAGCCGGTTCCAACGACCGGCGCCGATAGGAAAGGAGGAAGGAAAGGGAGGGAGGGGGGGGGG